ATAAACAACCCAGTTCTCTTAGAAGCTTCTCATAAGAGCTGGCCCATTGATCCAGCCAATCCAGGTCCATCTACGGAGCCTTCTTACACTCAGGAAGATTAGCACTCAGTCCCCATGTGGGTTCATCTGTACGTTTACTGAGAGCACACTCAATCCCTGATAAAGCCATGAAACAGAACTGTTCCCAGTAGAGAACCCTTAGGAACACCACTTTTGTCTGGAAGCAACTGGATTGAACTCCATTCATCACTAGCCGTTGGGCCAAGACTACAGTGTCCAAACTCCCATTACTCTGTGAACAGAGAAGGGCCACCTTTTGCCTTCATGTCCTCAGAAATAAGCAACACGTGGAGGCCAAGCTTGATGGCAGCAGAACTTTGATGAGAATGAAGAAGGAAGCAAAGTCACTGCAACTATAGGACAGCAGCACAGGGAGTCCTGGGAGAAGCCAGGACTCTGCAGTCCATGACTGTGGAGAAGTTCCTGCATGATGTGTGTCTGCCTACCCCTTAGAGGGGGTGGAGACAAATGGTCCCATAGATAGACTTGGTGAGAACCAGAGAAAACAAATAAAAGGGGAGGGAAGGAAAAGGAAAGTTATTCAGCTGTATAGAGAACACATACAAATTCTTGATCTCCTGCCCAACTGCATGTTTCGAGTTCCTCAGTGTGTCTTCTTGGGGCTTTCCCAGCGTCTGCATCAGCGGAGGAACCTTCTGCCACAGTAGCGGCTGGAAATGCCAGAGAGGTCACAGCACCCGGAGTTGATGGGCACTCCATCACAGCTGAGGATGCTGCCAACAGCAGCAGAGGTGGAGGAGCCCACCACGGTGTTCTGTGGGAAGGAGCTGAGGATGGGGCCGGGCAGGGTCACCACCACAGCAGGAGGCTCGATGGCGACAGTGGAGCTCTGGCACTGCCTGACACAGGGCTCGTTGCAGCTGTTGGCCAGCGGGGTGGGGCCGCAGGGCCGGCATGGCAGGCACTGGTTGTAGCAGGACATGCCTCTGGGCTGGAGGTGCACCTGGGAGAGAGGGAAAGAAAAATCAGAGCACAAGAGTGGGTGGGAAGCAGCGTGGTTACTCTGAATGAACCAAAAACACAAGTGAGTGAGGAGCTGGAGTCTCAGCCAGAAACCACACCATCTTCATTGCACAAAGAGCAACGTGGGCTAAAGAAGCTCTCTCTGAAGTCAAAACACAAAGCCCACTTCAACCACTTCCCAGCTTCTCTTTAAGGAGACCTTCTTCCTGCTTCTTTCCATCATGAGGAGGAGATCCAAAATCCAGTACAGGACAGAGGCAATATGAGCTGAGAGGTCCATCAAAGAGAGATCTTCCTTTGGAAAAGGAGGAAAAGGTGCTTCACACTCACCTGGTTCCCAAGGAGAAGGAGGCAAGAAAAGGTGATGAAGAAGCAGGGACTTGAGCTGCCTTTTATACCTGCCTTTCATTGCTGTAAGACCAGAGGCACCCTTGGCCGAGGTAACAATTTCCTGACAAGCTCATCTTAATGGAAAGCATCACAATTAATGATATAGGCTGTGCTTCAGTTTCCAACACTGCTGCCTTTTCATCTCTAGGTTTGTTCCATGCCAATTCTCCATTGAAGGCTTCTTCTGAGCACCAGGATGAAAGGCCCCAGGATTTTGAGGGCAGGAAAGTAGCAGTGCAGGCAGAAGACTCAGCACTGGACCTGAATGGGTCCAGAGCAGAGAACTGACATAAATCTGGATCACTCTGGTGGGGTTCTTTGAAGTGCTGGCCCCAGTCTGCAGGAGTCCTAAGCAGAGTCCATGTCTCATGGTGTTCCTATGTCTCTTCTTGTCATGTATGTATGTGTAAGCAGCCAGGGTTGTATGGATACAGATTTGTGCAGCATTCCATGTTGGTGTGCATGAACCTGTGTGTGTGTCCCACTGTCTGTCCCTGAGCATGCAGGAATGTGCTGCTCATGGCAGGGACACTCTCCACTACTTTCTCCATGAGCAACACAGAGCAGCAGGTTCTCAGGGTCAGAAGAATCCTGAGTGCAGCTGAGTGGTGATGGCACCAGCCTGCTAGACATCTGTCCAGGGAAGAGGCACTGGGATGCAGGTTCTGTCTGCTGAGCCCTCCTTTTTCTCCCCCACAAAGCTCACATTCTGCTGATGATGATTCCACACCGCAAAATGGATGGATTTGTTTCCATTTGGATCCTTAGTTTAATTCCATGTGACCCTATTGGCAGTGCCTCAGCATGGCTGGCAATCCGTCCCTCCCTAGGACACAGCTGCTTCCACTCATGTTAGAGAGATCAAAAGGATTAGTATTGCTTCATGGGTGATGAGAAAGGCTGAGAAATTCTGCTTACCATGCGTTGGCCAGCCCTGAGTGGACCTGCTTCCCATGCAGTGTCAAGGGTGTCTGGGGTGGGACACGGCCCTCTCTCATGTCCGTGTCAATGCCAAATGCACTTGTGTAGCTCATCGACCCGCCGCTGTGTCAGGCAGGGGCTGAGACCTTGGATCACGCAGGTACTGAATGAAAGGACCACAAAGGCTGATATTGCTGTGCTGTGAGGGGAAGGACAGACCCTGTGACTTGCACAGCAAAGCTAAAGAGCCAACGGCTGCTTTGAGTTTGAGGCAACAAGAACCTTCACGTCCCACACTGGAATCTTAATCTAAGATCCCAGCAACTGCATCTTTGTGAGAAGGGACATTGGATTCATGTTCACAATCCCCAAAGCTACTGCTGTCCCACAAGGATGTCCATAACAGACCCTCTTTCCAACACAGGCTGTCTATGTTGTGCAAAATTTGTGAGCCAATGTCCCTTCCTGAATGCTTGTCTGCCTGGGCTTAAGTCCAACTTTGAGACAGTGCAACCAAGGCATCCGTCCCATTTAGTGAGATCCTTCCCGAGGTGAGATCATTGCTAGGGAGCTCTTAGTTTCCTCTCTGTGTAGCTTCCTTTGAGTAGAGGATCTAGTGTAGCTGAGGGCCAAACTCATTTATTTCTGATGAGGCACTCATCAGAAATGGGCACTGTGAGCAAGGAAAGGGCATGGGATGTGTCTACACAGTTTAGCAAGACCTGTCTTGTACTTAATTTTTTACCAAATTGAAGATGAATGGTTCAGTCAAAGGATGAGAAGGTGGGTGGATATTTAGCTTAACCTCCAGGTGTAAAGAGCTGTGACCATGGTGCAAAGCCCAACTGAGGTTTTCAGGAATTAGTAGGACTAATAATCCAGTGTTTTCATGGACACCGCAATAAGTGGGAACTCCTATGTGTTTCAGGGTGACACCAAACCACAAGGAACATGTGGTACACTGATCTCTGTTAGCCAAAATTTTCCAATCAGGTCCATGAAATACCTGTTCAAGGACAAAAGAGAAGACGGAAAAGACTGTGTAAGTCTTCTGCAACAGAAGTAGAGGGCAATGAGCATCTGTTGGAACTCCCCGTGGAGTCTACTCTTCTTCAGCCCCAACCCCCTCAGCCTGTCTTCATAAGAGAGGTGCTCCATCCCTCAGGTAATTTTCATGGCATTTATCTGGACATGCTCCACATCCTTCCTGTGTTGGGGGCTCCAGAGCTAGACACAATACTTCAGGTGAGGTCTCAACAGTGCAGAGTAGAGGGGCAGAATGACCTCTCTCAATCTGCTGGTCACACTTCTTTCGATGCAGCCCAGGATGCAGTTGGCCTTCTGGGCTGCAACTGCACCTTGGCGGCTCATGTCCAGCTTGTCATCCACTAGTACCCCCAGGTCTTTTTCTATAGGGCTGCTCCATCCATCAAACCCATACCTCTCCAACTGAGAGAGAAGGATGTTGTGGGGGACTGTGTCAAAGGCCTTGCAGAAGTCCAGATAGATGACATACATGGGTCTTCCCTTGTCCATGGATGCAGTCACTCCATTGTAGAAAGCCACTAGGTTGGTAAGGCAGGAGTTGGCAAGGTTACCTTGGCACCAGCATGAGGAGATACTCAGGCACCTTCAACTGTATCCCACAGTTTACGGTGTTTGGGATACAGAGCTTGTTGTACAGGATTCCCTGCCCCAGCTGGCGACTGCTGTGACAGCTCTTGCTGTTTTGCAAGGGAAGTCCTGGCAGGTTTATAGTTACTGGAGAGCAGAGGGCAGCCCAGTGTCCCCCTGTCATGTCCTCAACTGAACACCAGGACCCTGAAGGCCCTGTGGGTATAGGGTTGTTAATGGGAGCTGCTATGCTAATAACCTGCTTCCTGCAGTCCCTGCCAACTGTGTGAGCCCTGAGTGAGAAGTGGTAGAGGGGTCCTGCTCCAGGCAGCAGAAGATATTACAATGAAGTAGCCTTTTTGCTTGCCTGGGTTGTGGGTTCTAGGGTTCTAGGGTGCGGTGTGGGACAAGCAGGTTGTGGGTAGGTGCAGGGACATAGGGGGACTGCCTGTACAACAGAAAGCTGTGCTGCCATGTCCTCCTCCTGCCAGAGTGTGGGAGTGTCTGTCTGTCCTTGTGCAGCTTATTTCTGCAGCAGCTGCTCTTTGCAGAGATGTTTCTCTTCAGGTGCCTCCTCTATGGCGAGAGGATAAGGAACAGAGTGGGTGACACCTGGGTCCAGGCACTTCAGTGTATGCCTGGTCCTCTCTCCATCCAGAGAGTTCCAGGGACAGGGTGGACAAGGGTGAGTGCAGGGGTACTTTCTCCATCTGCTGAAGAGCTGGGTGCAGGCCTGTGCAGCTGGCTAGGTGGTTGGTCTCAGGAGAAGTTCATGATGGATGCTTGTCCCTCTCATGGACAGTACTTAAACCATGACTCTGTTATCTCCCTAGAGAGCTTGCTTGTGGTAGAGGTTGGGGGATGGACCCCAAGAAGCCTGCCTAGAGCAGCAGGGAGAGGATTTTGCTCCACCCTCTGGGCTGTGGTCTGAGGCCTTTTTTATCTGGCAGAAGCAGAAGAAGAAATGAAGTTGCAAGCATCAGATTCCTCATGCTAGCAGGTCCCTCGGCATCACTTGAAAGGAGAGAGACATGGTCCTGATTTTCCTGGCAGCCCTGGTGGCACTCACAGACTTTGGTGAGATGTGATTTACAGGCTGGGAAGAATGAGGCAAGAGTGTGTGCCGTTGGTGGTGGAAGGGAGGAGACTCCATGGGGGATGCAGGAGTGTTTCTGTAGGGACGGCAGGGGCTGCAGAGGAGTACAGCAAATAATCTGGGAGATGTTAGGAGTATTGGGCATCAGAGGAGGAATAAGACCTCACCTTAAATGTGCAGGTACTGAGCACGCTGAATGTGCTGCTAGTACATGTGAATCCTGAAAGAGGGGAAGATGCTAAGGAATGAGTGACATGGCATGTCAGAGCTTCTCTCCTAGATGTACTAGATACAATGCTTCCAGTCTCTGTAGGGACAACAGAGAAGGCTATCTCGAAGAAAGAAGAGCAGAAATGTCACACAAGAGCAGGGCAAGGGCAGAGGATACCATGTGCCATATGGATTAACTTTTCAAGCAAGAAGGTATGGTCAGAGGTGGGAGAGGAGCAGCTCAAGTCTAGTGCTGCTAAAGGAGATACCAGCTATTAAAAGAGCTCAGAGGCAGATGTGGAGAGAATCAGTGCACTGAAAGACCAGTGAGCATGGCTGAAAAGCAAGGTGATGTGGGGGGTGAGGAATGGCAAGAACGTGCAGCAAGAAGTGTGTAGGTACAAAGAGCTCAGCCTTTCAGAGGCTAGAAAAAGTGATATGGGAAGCTGGAACAGGGAGCAAGCTGATGAAGAGACAGATTGACAGGTACACTGGCAAGCCTAGCTGAAAGCCCTATCTATCTTTACAGGTCATGCCCAAAAGGACTCTGTGCTCCAGTTCCCAGCAGAAATGACCATCCAGGTGGGACACAACACAACATTGCACTGCAATTTCTCCACCAGCTATTCCAATCCTTACATCTTCTGGTACCAGCAGAGGCAGACCCAGTCCCCTCAGATGCTGCTGCGGGTGGACAAATGGAAACCTCAGATGGATTCAGGGAGGTTCTCCTCTGTGCTGTCTGCAGAAGACTCCCAGGTGCTTCTACATGTGCAGGATGCTGAGCTCCAGGACAGCGCTGCCTATTTCTGTGCACTGAGCCCACCCTGGTACCCACAGCTTGCCGCACTGTACAGAAAGGTGTTGGGTGCTCTGAGGAGCAGTTCCCTTCCTGCCACTGCTTGCATGTAGCTCTGAGATCAGCCTGCTCAGCAGTGACACCTGGGGCTGTGGTGAAGCTGGGCCTCTGCCTCCCCAGCCTGTGCTGCTGTGAAGCACCCGTCAGTGTGACTTTGCAGCTGCCTCTAGATGCAGGGTCTTTGATGATTAAGTGACCAGGAAACCTGACTTGAGGCAGACTCAGTTGAGGCTACATCATAAACAAGACAAATCAGGTTTTCAAATGCCCCACTGGTCCATGTGACCACCTCTTAATAAGGAGGCCCCAACATGGCAGACCTTTATGAACCGTATGGGACTGATTTCACCTGAATGTAGAGCTCTCCAAGTGAGATGGTCAAGTCTGAACTAAACACCTACTGGTCCCTTCTCGAAGAAATGGTGCTTCTGGAGATGGTTCTCCTGTGTCCACCTATCCTGACAATGCTCTAAAGACTGAAAGTGAAGCACTTAGCAAACGGGAATCTGAACCTGTGGGAGGACCACATCTCCAGTGGTCTGTTGGAGAACTGTTTTTGGATGTGGTTTGTGACCCTTCCCAAGGTCTTTAGAGCACTGTCAGGCATTCTGAATTACCCAGGAGTGAAAAAAAGGAGGTGAGAGCATCAGAATCAAGACTCAGATCAGCCCTAGGTGGCTGTGAGTGAGATGAACTCACTGGGGAAGTTGTGGCTTCTCAGTACCTGTGATGCCCAAACTCATTACACTTTGATGAGGAACTTTTGCAGATGAGAAAGCTTGGGAGAGAGGAGATTAATCTTTGCTCCCACTGAGGCCCTTTGAAAAGCCACTTCATTTTTTCTGGAAAGCCTGCCTCAGAGCTTGCTTCACTTCTTTGTTCCTGAGTGTGTAGATGAAGGGGTTCAACAAAGGAGTTACAACTGTGGTAAAGGTATTCACAAGCTTGTTCAGATCCAGGGAATTTGGGGCTGATGGCTTGACATACAGGAACATGGTGGAGCCATACCAGATTGTGACGACACTGAGATGAGCAGAGGCTTTTTTTTGGCCATGGGCTGACTGAATTCTCAGGATAGAAGAGAGGATGTATATATAGGAGACCAGGGTGACCACACAGAAGGCCACCACAACAATTATGGAGACAAGGAAGGTTGCCAGCTCCATGGGCCATATGTCACTGCAGGAGAGGGCAAGGCAGGAATCTATATCACAGAGGAAATGATTGATGACATTTAGCCCACAGAAGGTCAGCCTGTGTAGAGGGGTTTAAGGGACAGTGGATATGGAAAATTACTAGAAGCCTATAACCTGGGCTTTGAGCTAACTGAAAACACTAAGGCAAACAACCCAGAGATAATTGGCTAGTGTCTATTTAAAGACATTAAAGAAAACAGCTAAGAGATAGTTGGCTAATGTTCAATGTCAACCAGAGACAGATCGGGAACAATATCAGAGAAGTATAAACTCCTTGGCACCACTTATATAACTCCTTGGCACCGCTTCAGCAACACCTGCACCACTTCAATAGCAAAGCTAAGCTTACGACACCGCGCGTGGACACAGGCTCATCACCAATCAACAATTTTATATGCCTCGTGCAACTCAGCATGTAACCAATCATAAATATTGTTTATCCGCGTGCACCTGATAAGGTATACTATATAAGGAGCTGTAATTATTAATAAAGTGGCTTGGCTTGGCTTGCTTGCTTGCTTGGGAGCATTCACCTTAACTCTATGAGTACCGTGTGTCTGTCTCCCGCAACTCCCGGCAACAAGCCTGGATGTCAGAAAGGTCAGCAGCGAGAAGGCCAAAAAGCCTCCCAGCCAGGAGCTGAGCGACAGCCGAGCAGAGGACACTGTTCATGAGAGAGCTGTATCTCAGGGGGTAGCATATGGCCAAGTAGCGGTCATAGGCCATGACAGATAAAAAAGAAAACACTCAGTGGAGCCTAGGGAGAGGAGAAAGAACAGCTGGAGGATGCACACATTGAAGGAAATGGTCTGACTCTTCCCTAGCATGACTCCTATGGCTTTGGGAACAATGCCTATAGTGTACCAGATCTCCAGAAAGATGACAGAGGAAAAAGTACATTGGAGTATGGAGGTTCCTTTTGGTCCACACAAGGGCTATGATGGATGCATTGCCTGCTACTGTCAGGGAGTACATCAGTGCAAATACCACCACAAGGGAGACCTTGGAATGCCAATTGCCAGGGAAGCCAAGAAGGATGAATTCTTCCACACTTTGCCATGCCCTCCCAAGCATTTAAGTCTATGTGAAAAGACAGAAAAGCTTCTGTGTGCTTCTGTGCTGGTCCTTCAGATGCTACTAGTAGTGAAACAAAGCCGTCAAAAAAAGTAGATCAAGCACAGATATCTCCTTTAGAACATGGTGAATGCAGTTGTTACCGTGAGATGAAAATACCTTTTAAAAAATTATGGATGGCAGGCTGAGGCTCTCCAGGTATGTGAAAGGCTGATGCAGAGGAAGGGAATGTACCTGCACTCCTCATATTGCGGGGGGGGGAAAAAAAAAAAAAAAAAAAAAAAAAAGCAGCAAAAACCCACTTGGGTCTAGAAGAAATTTTCTCTACCTCTTCTAGCTTCTAGGTCAGTTTATCACAAGGGATTCAGACTGAGATGGCAGCAGCATAGGGCAGCAGGCTAGTGTGACAGTCTGCTTCTCTGCATAGCTCGAGGGGCTAGATTCACCTCTTTGCAGTTTTGCCATCTCAGAGTCAGGGAAAAGAGAAACAAGATGAGAGACTTACAATTAAATACTCTTTACCTCACCTCCTCATCTTACCCTTCTTCTTTCTCAATGGACAGAGAAAAGGCATGAAGGAGACACGGCTCATCCCATCTTATATACATGCCTAAAAGCCCTCTAGAAGGGCAGGTTGTCTCTGAGGACTAAGGCAGGAGCCTAGAGAGCAGCTGAGGTGGATAAGTCAGACATATCAACTTGGGCAGAGATATCCATGCTTCAGTGGTTGAAGGCAAAATCCTCTGAGCTGATTTCTCCCCAGGGTATCTCTTCTGAGAGACCAGCCAAAATGCAGGGTATAATCTATGCCCTCCCTGCAGACAAGGGAGGATTCTTCATCTGATGCATCCAAGGGTGTTGAAGGAGCTGACTTGAGAGTGTCTACCCAGTCCATGGAAAGCAGGTGGAGCAAACTCAGCATGTAACCAATCATAAATATTGTTTATCCGCGTGCACCTGATAAGGTATACTATATAAGGAGCTGTAATTATTAATAAAGTGGCTTGGCTTGGCTTGCTTGCTTGCTTGGGAGCATTCACCTTAACTCTATGAGTACCGTGTGTCTGTCTCCCGCAACTCCCGGCAACAAGCCTGGATGTCAGAAAGGTCAGCAGCGAGAAGGCCAAAAAGCCTCCCAGCCAGGAGCTGAGCGACAGCCGAGCAGAGGACACTGTTCATGAGAGAGCTGTATCTCAGGGGGTAGCATATGGCCAAGTAGCGGTCATAGGCCATGACAGATAAAAAAGAAAACACTCAGTGGAGCCTAGGGAGAGGAGAAAGAACAGCTGGAGGATGCACACATTGAAGGAAATGGTCTGACTCTTCCCTAGCATGACTCCTATGGCTTTGGGAACAATGCCTATAGTGTACCAGATCTCCAGAAAGATGACAGAGGAAAAAGTACATTGGAGTATGGAGGTTCCTTTTGGTCCACACAAGGGCTATGATGGATGCATTGCCTGCTACTGTCAGGGAGTACATCAGTGCAAATACCACCACAAGGGAGACCTTGGAATGCCAATTGCCAGGGAAGCCAAGAAGGATGAATTCTTCCACACTTTGCCATGCCCTCCCAAGCATTTAAGTCTATGTGAAAAGACAGAAAAGCTTCTGTGTGCTTCTGTGCTGGTCCTTCAGATGCTACTAGTAGTGAAACAAAGCCGTCAAAAAAAGTAGATCAAGCACAGATATCTCCTTTAGAACATGGTGAATGCAGTTGTTACCGTGAGATGAAAATACCTTTTAAAAAATTATGGATGGCAGGCTGAGGCTCTCCAGGTATGTGAAAGGCTGATGCAGAGGAAGGGAATGTACCTGCACTCCTCATATTGCGGGGGGGGGAAAAAAAAAAAAAAAAAAAAAAAAAAGCAGCAAAAACCCACTTGGGTCTAGAAGAAATTTTCTCTACCTCTTCTAGCTTCTAGGTCAGTTTATCACAAGGGATTCAGACTGAGATGGCAGCAGCATAGGGCAGCAGGCTAGTGTGACAGTCTGCTTCTCTGCATAGCTCGAGGGGCTAGATTCACCTCTTTGCAGTTTTGCCATCTCAGAGTCAGGGAAAAGAGAAACAAGATGAGAGACTTACAATTAAATACTCTTTACCTCACCTCCTCATCTTACCCTTCTTCTTTCTCAATGGACAGAGAAAAGGCATGAAGGAGACACGGCTCATCCCATCTTATATACATGCCTAAAAGCCCTCTAGAAGGGCAGGTTGTCTCTGAGGACTAAGGCAGGAGCCTAGAGAGCAGCTGAGGTGGATAAGTCAGACATATCAACTTGGGCAGAGATATCCATGCTTCAGTGGTTGAAGGCAAAATCCTCTGAGCTGATTTCTCCCCAGGGTATCTCTTCTGAGAGACCAGCCAAAATGCAGGGTATAATCTATGCCCTCCCTGCAGACAAGGGAGGATTCTTCATCTGATGCATCCAAGGGTGTTGAAGGAGCTGACTTGAGAGTGTCTACCCAGTCCATGGAAAGCAGGTGGAGCAAATACTCTCAAAAGCCTTCTCTAAACTCTTGACAGGCCAGAAGGGAGCTGAGGGCAAATCCTGCCTCTCCAGCCTCATTGCTTTCTATGAGGAGGTGACTGGCACTGTGGGGAAGGGGAGGAGCACTGGCTGGGGTGTACCTTGATTTTAGCAAGACTTTTTACACACCCTCATGGGTGCACACACAGACACACCTACACACACTAAGGTAGGTATGCTCACAGCCATGCACACACACACAGAGATAATGTGTGCTGTTGGGAAATTTTTATTGTACCCCTTGAGACTAGTTAGATACGTACTTTTGCTGAGATATTAAAAAAAAGGCACCAAATGACCAGAGTCCCACCATGAAATGCAGTTTCACAAGGAATCTGCAAAGATACATCATTAGATGATTCTTTATGTATACAGGCACCTGTGATCGGTTGCATGGGGACACCTCAGCCTGGCATTGCATCATTCCCCCAGCACCAGCTCTGATGTACAAAGGTGGCCACTGATCTAGAAGACAAAGCTGTGGCTCTCTAATATCACCAACGGAAACTGCACTCCCTTACAGAGAGTCCCTCAGTCTCTGGCATCCCTGCTGTCAGCCACTTTAACCTCTTCAGCTTTTGGCCCTTCTTGTTCAACATATTAGATCATTCCTTTGTCACAAATTATCACTGCTGAGCAGTTACAATTTGAATTTCCCTTTCAGTTCACACACAAATTCACAAAAAATACAAAAGTATTTCAGACCTGCAAGTGCAACACCCTTATAAAGCTTTTGTCCTTCAGTCATTCTGAGATATGCTTCATTATACGTAATTCCCTTTTGATGGAGGACATAGATGTGGGGATTTCCATCCTTCCACTTGTACATTTTGTCAAGACATTTTCATGCAGGATATGAGACTGTAGTAGCTAAAAAGACATAGCTCCACCAATGAGAAATGATGATACTGACATGTGAAAAAAATCCTCTACCCAGAATGGCAGCCAATTCCTGAGCACACATTCTCTAGGGGGACCACTGAAGCAGTCAAGAACTCTGAGCCTACCTGCAGTTCTTTTGAGAAGTGCAGCCAGTACCCTCATCCTCCTTCATGCTCTACTCCATGCTCTGTATCAGAGCAATTTGGTCTCCCTCAAAAATACACCATTTCACTGTTCCCATTTCTGTGCTGAATGTCTTCAGCTTCCACATCTTTACCCCCAATTTCCACCCTCAACACATTTAGCAACATGGGTGACTTTTCCCTGCTATTCCTGCCTCTGGCTGCTGGCCATGACCCCTAGATTGGGTGGTGGAGGGGAGAGGAAGCTGTGTGCCATCCCAAACATTGTTCCCTGCTTTACCACTCTTGACTTTATGCAGAGCAAATAATCTTCTGGATCACCACACCAACTCCCTGTCACTTCAGTGCAGCTCGAACCATAGCAAGAACACCCTTTCTCAAAAGCTCATGGTGCTGCTAAGCCCTCAGGTCCTCATGCCTTTCTGGGCATTTGTGGGCAGACATAGCAAGGCAAAGCCTTATAGTCACCGGCAGCAGGGCAGCTGGGGATTACTTTCTCATCTCCAAGGGATGATGCCCAGAAGAAGAGGAACTGTAAGCTGTGGTTCCAACTTCCCATTTCTCTGTGAATGGAAAAAGGGCTCCTTGTTCCCTCACTCGATTCCACCCCAGAGCAACACCTTCCTCCTCTGGCAGCTTGGGGCCTGTTCAAAGAGGGAAGAGCCATATGGAGGCCAGGCTTGAACACAATAGAATTTAATGAGATCAAAGAGGGAAACAAATCACTCCAACTGGAGAAAAGCAGTTCAGGGAGCCCTGGAGGAAGACAAGAGTTACCATTCCTTGACTGTGGAGAAGTTGTGCATGATGTCTGCCTGCCTTCCCCCTAGAGGGAGAGGAGACAGATGGTTCCCACCGTCCTGGTGTTGGTGGCCTTCCTCAAAAGGGAAACAAGGAGAAAAAAAGAAAAAAAGGGGGGAAAAAAAAAAAAAAGGGCAAAGCTATTCAGCTCTACTGAAAGCTAATCCAAAAAATCAATCCTTTGGCCAGACCCATGTTCTGAGTTCCATGTTCCATGGGGCATTCCCAGCATCTTTATCAGGAGAGGAACCTTCTGCCAGAGTAGCGGCTGGAAATGCCAGAGAGGTCACAGCACCCAGAGTTGATGGGCACTCCGTCACAGCTGAGGATGCTGCCAACAGCAGCAGAGGTGGAGAAGCCCACCACGGTGTTCTGAGGGAAGGAGCTGAGGATGAAACTGCAAAGGAATGCAAAGGTGCTAAAGAATTTTTGCTACAAATGTGGAACAGTGATTGGGTAACCGCTGTGGTGTATCCCATGAATTAACTGCATAAAATAAAGAGTGCCAGTCTACAGATGCCTCCTAGGACTGGACCACTATCCCCCTTCTACTACAAGACCAACTGAACACCGCTGGAGTTTTGGCTGGTGACTTTCCTTTAACCCTTTATTTCCTTTCCTGATCTTTCTCTTCTGTAGTTAAGGATTTGTTAGCACATCTATTATAAGCTTATGACAAATATATAGCTATAACTCTTACCAGCTGATCTGTACCTAAATAAAAGCCTATTTTTGCACCTGATATTGTTATTATCTTTGTTTTGTCCTAGCAGGATCACAAAGAATCTCCATGGATCCGACTATTGGATTGTGACATCAGGCTAAACATACCCGTCTCTCACAGCCTCTCCTCATAGGACAGATGCTCCATTCCCCTCATCATCTTTGTGGCCCTGAGCTAGGTTCTTTCCAATAGTTCCTTTTTCTTCATCAACTGTGGAGCCCAGAACAATACTCCAGATGTGATGGGCAGATTAGAGGGGAAAAAGAACCACCTTTGACCTACTGGCCATACTCTTCTTAATACACCCCAAGGATGCCATTGGCCTTCTTGACTGCAACGACACATCGCTATCTCATGGACCTCAAGGTCCTTTTCTCCAGAGCTACTCTCCAGCAGGTCAACCCCCAACCTGTACTGATACATGGTGTGGGAAACTTCTTTTCTTCCTCACGTAAGTCTAAACAAATGCCTTTTGAGCCAGCGAAGGCTCTCCTGATTATTCCCAGATAACAGACCAAAACAGACTTGTTACTCAAGGACAACTGAAACCTAAACAATGGATGTGGTACGGGACAGAAAGGATGGGTGACAAGTCATACATTGCTCCTGATAGTCACCACCCTAACCTGGGGCCCAACAAGCCGGAAGGGAACATCACTGGGCGCACGCACGCGCACACCCACACCCAGACCCACATCCACCAAAGGACACTTTCTTTATATATATCTATATATATCTATATATATATATCCCTGGTAGCCATTCACTTTTTCCCTAAATATCATCCCTCAGTTTGTGTTAACCCTTAATAAACCAATTAATTTGTGTAGTAAACATTGGTCTTAGAAGCAATTTGTGAGCGTGGGGGGGAGGAGTGCTTTCTAATTACCACTCTTAACATATGGTCCCACAGTGCCCATTCCTCTGAGAGGCAGTGCCACGTGTGACCCTCGGTCTTATTCAAAAACCCCTCCACATCAGGGTGGGGGTCACGAAAGCACCTGACAGCTCGTGACACATGGGGTTGTTCCTCCCCAGGTGCAGTACTCTATATTTGCCTTTGTTGAATTTCATTAGGTTCCTCCCTGCCCAACTCTCTAGCCTATCCAGGTCATGCTGGATGGCAGCACAGCCTGCTGGTGTGTCAGCCACTCCTCCCAATGTTGTG